TACTTTCAAGGGAGATTTTGACTTCTTGTATTATAGCCTTTATCTCTAACAGTTCCATCTGATTCTTTTGTAAAGTGTGAAATTCCTCTTTTAGATCTTGCATGAGTTTCCTCACCTCCTGGAACTCTTCAACTCTTTTCTCCTTCCTCTTCAGCAGTTCCTTGTCTCTCTTCTCTTCCATCTCTGTTAGCTTTGCCATTATGAATGTTCTGAATTCTTTATCAGATATTTCCATGATTCCCATTGAACTGTGTGTGGATGAAGAGGAGCTATCAGTTTCCCTCGTGGGAGAGGTATTTTCCTGTTTCCCCATATTTCTTGTGATCCTGCAGCGATTTCTAGTCACCTGATGGATGGTCAAGTTCTTTCCAAACTTGGAAGTTCAATCTGAGCCACGTGGGTTTTGTATGCTGGAGGCCCAGTTATCAGTGGGACATCTTCCTTTCTCCCAGCCTAGTTCGCGCCAGCCATGGAGCTGTCTGTCTCTTGAAGAAGGGCTGTTCACGTGGGTTTTGTATGCTGGAGGCCCAGTTATTAGGGGGACATCTTCCTTTCTCCCAAAATGGCTAGATCGCAGCAGCCATGGAGCTGTCTGTCTCTTGAAGAAGGGCTGTTCACGTGGGTTTTGTATGCTGGAGGCCCAGTTATTAGGGGGACATCTTCCTTTCTCCCAAAATGGCTAGATCGCAGCAGCCATGGAGCTGTCTGTCTCTTGAAGAAGGGCTGTTCATGTGGGTTTTGTATGCTGGAGGCCCAGTTATCAGGGGACATCTTCCTTTCTCCCAAAATGGCTAGATCGCAGGAGCCATGGAGCTTTCTTCTCTCCCATTCTCACACATGCATATGCACAGACCTACTAAAAATAATTCACTGCTCCACAAAATTCTAGATTCATGCTGGCTATATGCAAGTGGTGAGGTGGGTCAGAGAGCCATACAGAATTCTTGGCTCTGTGCAGGCATCATCTAACTATGGAATCCTCTAGCAGTTTTTTCTTCTCTCCAGCTCTCCTTTTCTTCATCAATACAAATCAATCTACAAATTCCTTTTTTGTTGTTGTTTAAAAGATTTTTGCTATAGAGTGTGTGCACTTGCCAGAGAGACAGAGACAGAGGGACAGAAGGTGAGAAATCACCCCCCAGGGGGGATGGTCATGCTGCAGTCTTTTCTCCTCCATTCTCCTTTTGGAATTTTGGGCACTCATGTGCAGACGCCCAGTGTAAATTTCAAGCCTCCGGGTCCAGGACGTGAACAGCAGTCGGGCATGTGGGAGTCCACCAATGTAGCCATTACACCATCTGCTGGACCCTCTACAAATTCCTTTTTATATCCAAATGTCCATGATCCTTGAGTCTGGCCTATGCCAGGATGTAATAAAATTAATTTGCTCTTCCTTGGTGGCAAAGTTGTCTAGTACTAGGGCTAAGGGCTGCTGCATGCAGGGCCCTGACCCAGTGTCTGGGGAAGAGAGGACAAGGGCTTCATCTTTGGTGTGGAAGGTGATCAGCCAAGGGGTGGGGCTCTGTAGTATGTCTGGCCCCAAAGGAACCCCTAGGCTGAGGAAAGGAAAGCTCTGTGCCATATGACATGTCTGTGTATCTCTTTCCACCGTAGTTACCAAGAGCCTCTGAGTTTCTGGCTTTTTTCCTTCCTGAATCCCCACCATTGGTGTATGTTGAGCATGGGACGGCCAGTAAGTACTCAGTTAGCTTTTTAAAAATTAATTTCTTTACTATATATGCTATGAGGTGCATGTGCTCACTGAGAGGTGGGGGTAGGGTAGGGAGAATGCAGGGGGTGGGGGATTGCTATGCTGCAATCCCTTCTCCTCCAGCCTCCTCTTGGCATATAGGGCACACATGCAAATGTGCCTGACTTGTTTTTCAAGCTGCTGGATCTGGGACTTGAATTGCATAGTTGGCTGGATGTGGGATTTAGCTGCCTTGACCACCATTCCACTGGCTGGCCCAGTGCTTAATTAACTTTTCTTGAGGGAATGGATAATAGCTTGTGACTGGGAGGGCTGCATGGAGTGGACAGGCCCAAGCCGCACTGTTTAAGGGGGAGGGGACAGGCCAAAGCCGCACTGTTTAAGGGGGGGGGGTTGAAAGGCTGAGAGGAGCAGAGAAGACACTCCTGGGGGGAGGAGCTCAGGCATGGATGCTGGAGGTACTAGGGGATGACTATGGTGTTCCAGGTGTGGAGGGAGACATGGTGGGTTTGGGGACAGGAAGGATGTATGCTTGGGAAACTAATAAGAGAAAAACTGAGAAGAGGAAAGTTGATGAAATGGAAGTCAGAGGAAAGGGTGAAACCACTTAAGTTCAAAGCTAGAATTTGGGGTGCAGCAAGGGTCCATATCAGGACTGTAGAGGGCCCAGTGCCTGGCACTGAGTTCTGGTGTGGGGAAGAGGAGCTGTCTCTCCAGTGGCTTTGTTTTTGGTGCTCACCACGCACAGCTGGTAAACCTCAGTGCTATGAAGCACAGCCCTACTGAGGCACAACTCTCCAGACCTGGCTTAGCATATGACTTGGAAAGAAGGGCTGTTGTCTTGGGGCTCCCTTTGCCTCCCTTTTCATGTCTTTCACCTTGTGATGCCCCTTTCTGCGCTGCCAGGTAGCCAGGGTCATCCCAGTGCCACCTGAATGCCTCTTGAGCAGGCCTGCCCTCCCTGCAGCATGCCAGCTTTTAGCCACCTCTTCTTCACCTCACTGCCTTCCTCACTATTGCAGCGAAACTTTCATTCCTCAAGGCTGAAGGAATTCACCCTAAGGCGGCAAATGGCTATTAGTCTCTTTTCCAATAGGGATATTTGAATTTGAGAAGTCTGCTCTCGGTGCCTCCTCCCCATGGCACACCTTAAACCAAGTACCAGAGTGTGAGCATTGTGTTGGACACTTCTATTTGTATTATTTCACTTGGTCCTCCCAATGGCCTTATTGGGCAGGTAATCTTTCCTTCCTTTTCCAAATGAGGAAAGCAAGGTCCTGAGAGTTTGGGCAGGTTCTCCAAAATTACAAAGCTAGGAAGAGGTAAAGCAGGATTGCAGTTGAGGGCTTCTGGAGCTAAGACCAGCCAGCACTTACCTACCTTATGGTGGGTGCTCTTTCAGAAGATATCTTTAATGGCAGTTGGTGGTTGAAAGAGGAGGTAAGCCTGGGCAAGGAGTCATATAATACAGATCCTTAACTATTGGCCTTGACCGTGTCCAAGCAGTACCAAGGACTTCAGGTGGCTCTGTGGAACACTGAAACTGTAAGACTCTGTGTTTATATTATATTTTTCAGCAAAGGGCTCCTCCTGGCTAGATAGACGCCCCCTCCCTATCTAAACTCCAGTCACTGAGTAAGGACATTTTAGACTCTGGTCTTGCTATCTTGCTACCTTGCCCTGGTCCTGGTCTTCATTCTGAAATCTCAAAAGCCAAATTGTTAACTGCAAAAGAAATTAGTGGAGATATCTTCTAATGGCCAATGGAATGGGTGTTCACAGAATTGACAGATTAGAACATTAGAGCTGGAAGAAGCCCTGGGAATGGCTTAGTCCAACCTTCTCATTTTTTTCAGAGGAGGAAATTGGGGCTCAGAGAATTTGACAGATCCAAGGTCACACAGGAAGTTTGTGGCAGGAAACAGTTTTTTTAAATTATGTAATTTTATTTATTCATTTATTTTAATTTGACCAGAGACAGACATGGTGGGAGGCAGGATGAGAAGGCAAGCCACCAGCTCCGGAACTCGAACCATGATCAGCTGTGTGGGACTATCTAATACCTTAACCACCATGCTACCTGCTGGTCCCAGCAGAAAACATGTTTGTGTTTTTATTATTGTTGTTTGCTTGTTTGTTTTTTCCACTGCTATGGTCTGAAGGCTGTAAATTTAAGGAAGGCAAAGAAATCAACATTTACAGGGCTGTGCTTGGCAGTACCAAGGTTTTCAAGCTGTGCATGGTGAGTGCCAAAGACAAGGTTGTCAGAAGATAGTGCTTCTCTTCCATCTCATATCTGTGCCAGGCACAGTGCTGGCATTTCTTCAGGCATTCTCCTCTTTGCCCTGGGCTGCAGAATTTGGAGTACATGTCTCACCTCTGCCATCACTTTTTCCCTACCCAGGCAATGCTGACTTTAGACAACAAGGACATGAAAGGATTCTCCTGGGCCATAGCTCCTGCCTTGACCTCCCTGGGCTACCTGTTCATACTGCTGGTCTCCATCTTTCCCTTCTGGGTGCGGCTGATGAACGAGGAGTCCCATGAAGTGTTTTTCAGTGGCCTGTTTGAGAACTGCTTCCATATCAAATGCTGGAAGCCTCGACCCTTATCCAGTAAGGAGCTGGAGGTGGGGAGATGGGAGAAGGAAATGGGGCCAGTGGAGATTGGGAGGTGATAGGTTTGGGGCTGAGAAGACAAAATGTAATAAACCCATAAGTGCATTGCCTCCAAGTCTCCTTTCTCTTGGGATGAAAACAAAGTAGAGACCATCTAAGTAGGAGCAAATGCATCAACAACAAAGTTTCTTTCTAGCTAGAAGTGCTCTCGGTAGGAAGAGGGAGGGGATCCTGTTCTGCTCCACCCTGTGCGGTCAAGACAATTCTGGGGTGCTGTTGGCTACACAGACAGCACCCTTTGGGTGGGCACAGCTCCAAGCCAGAGGAATAGCCTGGTTAGCAGAACTGGCTGGATTTTAAGTCCCCTTTGTACCTCTGGCCACACACCTGTCCAGTTATAGGTGGCAGCTCTGAAGATAAAGGAATGTACAGAATATATGAGTGCAGAGTAGGTAAGGCACTCTCGACCATGTTTTACTAGGAACTTTTGAAGTTCATAAGGATATCTGTCTTAGAGAAGATGGGATCCAGAGAGACTTAGGAGCTAACTCCTGGAAAGGCTGCTCGGGGAAGATGGTCAGACTATGGGAGCTCTTTGAGCCAATGTTCTCAGCTTTGGCACTGCTGACATTTTGGGCTGGGTAATCTTTGCTGTGGGGGTGCTCTGTCTCTTCCTGGGTGAATAGTATCTCTGTTCCTTCTACCTAACAGATGCCTATAGCACCACTCCCCTCTTAGTCATGAAACCGAAATTATCTCCAGGCATTGTGAAATTTTGAGGGGTAAAATTACCTCTGGTTGAAAACCACTGGGTTAATCTGAGGGCAGATTCTGGAATATCTGGGTCTTCAGTAACACTGTTCTCTCTTTGGACACCTGCAGTGTCCATCTCTACATGCTCAGGAGGGTATATGAACTTTTTTTTTTTTTTAAGTTTTTCCTACAGGGCATATGTGCTCACCAAAAAAGAGAGAGCGAAAGATAAAGTGAGAAAGCATCCACCTGCTACCTCCCTTCCCCCCCACCCAGGGGCTATAGCCACACCTCAATTCATTCTTCTACATTTTCCTCTTGGGATTTTGGACATGCACACATGCCTGGTGTGTTTTTCTTTTTCTTTTCTCTCTTTCTTTCTCTCTCTTTCTGAGATTTTTGCTGTAGGACTCATATGGTCACTGGAGAAACAGAGAGACAGAAAGCAAGAAATCACCACCCCCGAGCAGGAGGTGGACACTCTGCTATCTCTTCACCCCTAATCTCCTCTCAGGATTTTGAGCATGCACATAGGCTCAGTGTGAGTTTCAAGCCACCAGGTCTGGGACTCGAACCACGGTTGACCGCGTGGGAGTCCAGTGCCTTATCCATTGCACCACCTGCTGTGTTTTTCAAGTTGTGAGGTCCAGGACTCGAACTGCAAAGTCAGCTATATGGGATCCAGCCACCTTCACTACCATGCCACAGACTGGCCCCAGATCAATTTTAACATCAGTTTGAATCTTATCAATAGTAGGAGACTAAGTCATGCTATTACCAGACTCTGGCTCTTCCATTTTTGGTCTATTTCACTATTTCCTATAACTAGGAGAATTAAATAGAAATATGGGAGTTCCCATGGAGCTCAAAACATTTTGACCTCACAGACTTCTGCTTTACCACAGGTGAGTTATTTCAGTATAACCAGTACAGATTGATTCTTCACATTTCTGAGTGCAACAAATTTTATCACCAGAGTTTGATCTTGTATTATTTATTAAAGCCATTATTCTGGAATCAGCAGTTGGTGTAATGGCTATGTTGCTGGACTCCCATGTAGTCGACTGTGCTTTAAGTCCTGGACCTGGTGGCTTAAACTCACACTGGGTGCATGTGCTTGCATGCCCAAGATCCCGAGAAGATAATGGAGGAGAGGGGATTGTGGCATGGCCATTTCCCCGAGGGGTGATGACCTCTCACTTTCTGTCTCTCTGTCTCTGTCTTTCTGGCGAGCGCATGTGCCCTATAGCAAAAACCTCTCAAAAAAAAGAAAAATACCATTGTTCTTCTCAAATGACTAATACATAGTTTCCCCACATGATTTGATACAACTGGATTCACTTAATAATATTTATTAAGAACTCATGAATAATTTCAGTGTAGAATACTGTCAATCTAATTTTTTTTCTTTGTATACTTCCATGTATTTGGGGACAAAATGGTGAGGCCAAGCATTCTTGGGGCCAAGTGGCAGGCTCATAGTCTTGGTCCTGAGGCTACACTTTAGTAACTGAGCATAGTGGAGGCTCCAGGGCTGGCCCTGCTTAGCATTGTGGGGGGCTACCATTTGTGGGTCAGAGTCACCAGTTCCAGCCTTGGCTATCTTTCTCCTGCAGCTTACATCCTCCTCGGCCGGGTTTTCCTGCTCTCTGCAGTCGTCTTGGCCTTCCTCACCACCTTCATCATGGTGTCTTTTGCATCTGAGCTCTTCCTGAGGACCCGGAAGTATAATATTGTGTCAGCCTTCATCAGCTTCCTTACAGGTGTGTAACAACTATGTAGTCTCTATCCTTTGCTAGGTCCTTGGGAAGTGTCCGAAGGAAGGGTGGTGATTGGTCTTCATGATGTCAAGAGAGGTATAATTTTCAAGGCCCTTCCTCTTTCGCCTTCTCTATAAAGTAATCTACCCCCACATCTGTCCCCTCGGAATTTATGATCCCTCTTCTTTGGGGCTTCTCTACACTACATTTCCAGCAAGCCAGCCCTGACTACATTGTCATATATAAGTTACATATGTAACTTACCTATCCCAGCAACTGTCACAGAACCTGGCATAGAATTAGAATTGAAATATACAACATAAATATTTTTTGAATAAATGAAGAGACTGTCTCTGCCCTTTGGAGCCAATTGACATTTTAAAGTCCCATCTTGGGAGGGAGACTCCCAGACAAGTGGAGGAAGTGGAACCACTACAATGGGAAAATTGGGTTGAGTTTCTTCATCCTGTCACACCCAGATGGCCCTGCCTGAAGAGAGCCATGGCCCAGATGTGGAGGGTACCAGGATTGGGCTTTCTGATGATGGGACCCTGGGAGGGGAGACATGTGGGCTTGGAGATGAATTAGAAAGAAAAGAGAGACATGGGACCAACAGTTAGTGTAATGGCCATGTCGCTGGACTCCCATGTAGTCGACTGCGGTTCATGTCCTGGACCCGGTGGCTTAAAACTCATGCTAGGCACGTGTGTGTGCGTGCCCAAGATCCCGAGAGGAGAATGGAGGAGCAGGGATTGTGGCATGGCCATCCCCCCTGGGGGGTGATTTCTTGCTTTCTGTCTCTATGTCTCTCTCTGTCGTCTGGCGAGCGCATGCGCCTTATAGCAAAAACCTCTCAAAAAAAAAAAAAAAAAAAAAAAAAGAAAAAAGAAGAAAGAAGAAAAAAAAGAAGAGAGAGACAGGTAAGTAGGGTGGAGGTTGTTAGCCCAGGGAGGGTGTGGGGGTGCAGGCAGGATAAAGAAGTCTCCAAGCAGGAATCACATGGGCTGTTGTGAAGTGGCTCTGTTAAGCCTGAGGAAGGATGGAGTGAAGGTAGGAGGTAAGGGAGGAGAGTGAGGGTACCTCCTGTGACCCTGCAGGTGTCTGTGCCTTCTTGGCCTTGTTGCTCCATGCCCTGGAGATTTGGAATTTGAGGATGAAGCCCAACCCTCCACAGTTCTCCGTGCAGTGGCCTTACTACATCCTGGGCTTGAGCATCCTTCTGTTCATAGTGGCTGGTGAGTGTTCTGGGGCTTGTGGCCCTCTCCCTGCCCTCTGTCTGGATTCAAGAGCCTCCACCCTTTCTCTGCCTTCTCTAGAGCTGTGCTGTTCCAAGCAGTATCCCCTAGTTGCACATTGCCATTCAACGTTAATTAATTAAATTGAAACAGTTAAAAATTCAGTTGCTCGGATACACTAGCCAAGTTGCAATTATGTATTACCATATTGGATGGAGCAGAAAGAGAAATGTCTGTTTGTGAAAGTTCCCCTGGACAGCACTGCTCTGGAGCCTTAACCCTATCCTTCCTTAACCTTATCCTTAGCACAGTCAGACTTCCATATTTTCACATTCTCCTTTACACCATCCTGGTTTCTAAGGTTCTCTTTTCCTCTATCTTTGTCTTGAAAGCTGTGATTTTGTTCCTTACCCTATCCCCTTTATCTTCCCACACCAGCACCATCTAAATTTTTAATTCTAACTTTGCCCTTATGCCTAATCCTCTCCTTGCTACATTAACCTGATCATATTCTAAATAAATTTTATTATACATCAAATACATAAAAATATTTATGATATCTCTATAAGATACAAGTAATTACAAATAAACTGTACACTCATATTTCTACCATATAGTTTAAGAACTAGCCATATAGGGACCAGCAGGTAGTGTGGTGGTTAAAGGCACTGGATTCATACTTGACTGACTGCTGTTTGAGTCCTGGACCTGGCAGCTTTCTTTCACCTGGCAGCTTGCTTTCTCACTTCTCTCTCTTATTCTTTTCCTTTCTGGTCAAATTAAAAAGAAAGAAAGAGAGAGAGAGAGAAAAAGAGAGAGAGAGAGAGAGAGAGA